GCCACATAGAGACTTTTACCTCATGGTGTTTGGAACGAGCGAGAGTTCAGTGCTTCTAAAATACAACAGCCCTGTTTCTCGTTTAACTTTGCGGTTTAGATGCATTGGCAATGTATTTGGCCTTTTGGCAGCAGTTTGGCACCCATGTACTGTTAAGTGGGTGAAAGTGAATGCTTCTCAAGCCATCCTTGAGAGTTGAAATCATTTAGGAAATTGTGGGAAGGCGCTATTGTGCAATTGCCTATAGGTGCTGTAAATTATTTTGATGCTTTAAATGAAATTTCTAACGGAAAAACATGATAAAATGTGTATATCTATATCAATTAACATATAATAAACAAACTATATTTAAAAAAGTACATTTTAGAAAATATTACCAGTCTATTCATTCTACCAGTGAAAATAGTTCCAAAAGAAGCCAAAATATAGAACTGAGCATTGAGCATCTCCGAGAAACTTTAGTTTCTTTAGTGGCTTTAGTTTTAGCCATTTTAGTACTTCAACTTATTTTATTTCAAATTATCAACATTTATAATTATCTAATTATTCGCTTTTCATCTAATATTCATATTTGATTGAATTTCAGCTTTATTACGGAATTAACGGAAATGAGTTTTAATAATTGTAGTATTAGTTCTAGTTAATAATAACAAAGCCAGAGCAGAACTAACAGATATTAATATGTATTATTTAATTACATTCCCTAATTCATTTACATAATGTTTTGCTCAGAACTTTTTGATTTAACTTTGGCCATGGAGTTTTATCAACAGCCAGCTCTGAGATACGAAGACAAACTGGTGCTTTGCGTCTCGTGGGAGCTGGTTTGGATCAGTCAGCAGCCTCTGATGTACCATGTCTCTGTGCTCTCTGGAGGGTGATTTGGGGCGAGAGCTGTGGGCCGAGAGCAAGGGGCTCCAGCAGCTGCTTCTAGTTGTGCTTCTTTGTGCAGATATACAGATATGAACATGCATACCGGTATGTCCGTGTTCATACACACACAGACCGAAATGGCATCTGGTTCTTCATGAAAGATATCGAGGTGGGATGTTGGGGTCATCCGTTGAGCCGGGAGTGCAGTTTGGTACTCAATCTCATAAACATGACTCTGGATTCTTCACAAGTAATGGCAGCATTCCAGAGTTGATCCCACAGGCTGCCGTAGCACTCGGCATCCAGGAATCCGTCATCTGCGCTTTGGTCCGGACCCAAGTAACAAGAACCACACTGAGGGGAGATCAAGTACATAACACAAGGTGTGATGTGTCTTCTTGTTGCTGTAGCTCAGCTGGTAGAGCATGGCGCTAGTAACTCCAAGGTCATGGGTTCAATTCAACATACACTGCCAGAAGTTTGGAAGTTTAAAAAAAGTCTCTTCTGCTCACCAAGGCTGCATTTATTTGTTTTAAAATACAGTAAAAGCAGTAATATAGTGAAATATTATTAGAATTCAAATGAACTGTTTTCTATTTTAATATATATTAAATGTAATTTATTCCTGTGATGCAAAGCTGAATTTTCAGCATCATTACTCCAGTCTTCAGTGTCACATCTTTCAAAAATCATTCTAATATGCTGATTTGGTGCTCAGTTATCATCAATTATTATTGGTACTCAGTTATTAATAATGTTTCTTATTATTGTCAGTGTTGAAAACAATGTTTTTTTATCATTTTTTTCAGGATTCTTTGATGATTAGAAAATAATTATAATAAATAATTTATTTCAAATAGATTATTTTGCAACATAATAATTGTCTTTAATTGTCTTCTGTCACTTTTGATCAATTTAAGTGTCTATCTTCATTGCAATCACAAGTTAATTTAGATAAAATGCAGTGCCTGATGTGTCAAACTGATTAAAGCTTAATGCATGTAACAATAGTGTTTTCCAATCACATGTACAAATAATAAACTGTTCATTCGCAGATAAACAAAGACATGAATTATTTGAAACATGAAGACTAAAAAAAGGTTCAAATAATCCTTGACAGTTTGCAAAATATAATCAGCTGATGTCAACAATAAATCTTTTCATGCATGTGTTTCTGCCCAGTCTCTTCCGTGACCTTGACTGTTTTTCGGAGTTCACTGTTGAGAGAGTTAGTCAAAACCAGATTGTATTCAGAGGATGAACAGCTCTGTGTTTAAGAAATAGCTTGATCAGGATCCCATTAGTGACCTTATTAGAGGTTTTATGATGAGGGACATGAAAAAATTGGCAGGGTGAGAAGTACAAATTGTGCTGTGCTGATGTGTGCCAGCTGGATGTCACCTGTTGTGATGAGCATCCGACTGTAAACTACCAAAAGTCAAGTCACACACAAACATGTCACACATCTCAAGACGAATGCAGCCATTTAAGGTGAACAAGGTTACAGAGAGTTGGTGGCTGGTTTTCAAAACATACATTCTCATGTAGGTCATCATCTATGTAGGTTACAGCGCCACCAAGTGGTTCATATAAGAGTCATTGACAAATAAGGGGGTTTAAAATACTAAAAAGGTATATATTTTAAAACGCATGTGACAAGTTCTTCAAAATATATATAAAATTAAATTTTAATTCAAACATTTAAAACGTGTTTATTATTTAAGTCTTTGTCTGTAAAAGATCCAGAATAAAAAAATAAGAATCTCTTACCAGACAGCAACATGTCAGTCCAAATCCGGGCCACATCTGGCACATCATATGTGGGCCGGATCTGGGCGGCACTATGTTGCTGTCGGGGTTTGACCATTAAGTTCAGGTCACCAAATAGTCTGCAGCAGGCAAATATAATAATTGGATTTCGTTTTAATTGCGTATATATTTGTTGCCTACACTGAGGTTTGAAACACTTTTCTTTGTAGAGCTTGTTTTATGTGTAATGACTGTGGATATTCACAGTTTGTGTGTGGGGAAGGTTTACAACATCACCGTACGTGCAAATCACTCATTAAACAAAAAGTCATACGTGCAAGCTCCACATTACAGTGCTGTTACAGTGCGGTGAAATATAAACCAACAAAAACAGTAAAAGCTCAGCTTTGGCAGCTGAGGGAAACTTCTGAAACACCTCTAAAGAATGGCAGGTTGTCCTGTTAACAGTCTTCACCTGCCAAATGAAGGTAGCTGCTTTACAAAACTATAGCAGGAATGCATTTACACATGGTTGAGATGGCCAGCAATTGCATATTGCATCAATAACCATAAAAATATCCCTTTATGTTTTGGATGGTTGTTTGCTTGATTCTATCAGAGAGGTTAATATGAAATGCAGAGCCCCCCCTGCTGAGATACTGAAGCACCAGGACCCACCACAACGCTGGAGACAAACTCTCCTCTCAAGTCTGTTACAGACATTCTCATGGCACTTTGAGTGAGAAGCTGTGAGAGTAAGTATGTCTGATGGGTGGAATGAAAAAGAAATAGAGTGAGTGGAACAATCAAACCTCTAAGTGTGTGGAATATGTTTGCACAAATTTTTAAATAATAACCATACTGTTTAAACACATGTTATGATTTCTAATGAGTTCTGTAATTGCAAGTTGCTGGAACCATATCAGTGAATCTTCAAGTAGGCCTACCAGTGATAAAGAAAGTAGGAGCACAAGTCAGAATGGGACAAAGGAGCCTGGCATAGAAAACCACCTCATTACAGTACACGAGATCCAGGGGGCGGAGTTGGATCCAGATCTAAGGGGTGGAGATGGGTAGGATTAGGGGTGGGGTTAGGGATCAGGGGGCGGAGATGGGTAGGATTAGGGGTGGGGTTAGGGATCAGGGGACGGAGATGGGTAGGATTAGGGGTGGGGTTAGGGATCAGGGGGCGGAGATGGGTAGGATTAGGGGTGGGGTTAGGGATCAGGGGGTGGAGATGGGTAGGATTAGGGGTGGGGTTAGGGATCAGGGGACGGAGATGGGTAGGATTAGGGGTGGGGTTAGGGATCAGGGGGCGGAGATGGGCAGGATAAGGGGTGGGTTAGGGATCAGGGGGTGGAGATGGGTAGGATTAGGGGTGGGGTTAGGGATCAGGGGGTGGAGATGGGTAGGATTAGGGGTGGAGTTAGGGATCAGGGGGCAGAGATGGGTAGGATTAGGGGTGGGGTTAGGGATCAGGGGGTGGAGATGGGATTAGGGGTGGGGTTAGGGATCAGGCGGCGGAGATGGGTAGGATTAGGGGTGGGGTTAGGGATCAGGGGGTGGAGATAGGTAGGATTAGGGATCAGGGGGTGGAGATGGGTAGGATTAGGGGTGGGGTTAGGGATCAGGGGGCGGAGATGGGTAGGATTAGGGGTGGGGTTAGGGATCAGGGGGCGGAGATGGGTAGGTTTAGGTATGTAAGGTGGGAGGAGTTGGATCTGGATCCAACTCCTCCCCCTAGATTTCGTGTTCTGCAGTGAGGACCATCTCGAGAAAACAGCTACATGGTTCAACCACTTTAAAATAATAGAACTTTGAGCCTTGCATCATGGTAGCTAAATGTTGCGGTCTCAAGGCAAGCGACTCTACAGTCCTGCAGCATTTCAATGCTTTTATGGGTGAAGATGGTTGAGGGCCAGAATAGGAAAAACAAAATAATAGTCCTATAGTATATTGCTAGAGAAAATAATTGTGTGAATTTTATGTGTGTGAAGTCCTTTCAGCATGCCATTGATAATCATTTACATTCAGGTCACATTTATTTTGTTTTATTTTATTTTATTTATTCCGTAGTCTATGATGTTTTTTCACAATACATATAGTTTTAAAGCAGCTTTACAGAAAATTATTTTTTGATATTAGGAATGTCTCTAACGCATAGCTCTAACTGCAGCTGCAGTGACGCAATATTATTGAGAAATTTCTCCTGTTCTTTGCTTATACTGCCACCCTCTGACCAACAGAGGATTTTACTGGTTGCTGGATCTAGTGGTTTTTATCTATTCATCGCCTCCTCTCTTCCCTTCTCATCATGGCTTCTTCCTCGCGCCTGCTGCTTATTATTCCACGTCGGCTAAAGGAAGCTCGGCGCCTGTCGTCAGATCCGCAAGGCATTTCGGGCTACTGGAGGCTGATTCGCCCAATAATACAAACAACCCGCTGGACATAGTGGAATCGGGTGAACATGGGAAAAGCCGCTTGCTTATGAATTAACATACATTCAGCCTCAATGAATGCATGCTTTTAGAATTTCCTCACTCTTTAGGGAAGTGTCAGTAATTAATTGCGCATGAACTGGGATAAAATATTCAGCACGCGTGTCAAATAGCTAATCCTGGAATAGGAAACACAGGTAAGATAACATTTATGTATTGATCTTTATTATTTATGCAGTCATTATCGCTAAGCAGTAAAACGGACATCGAAATAGCCTTCATGTACTGCATGCATTGTTGTGAAATATGACGGCGAAAATGAATATGTGGCTGTATTTAGCGATCTCACGGTTCAAGTGTGTTTATCTGTCTTGATGCATGAAAAGCGATTTATTTTAATGAAAGGCCCTTGGGCGACAAGGACCGTCACTTTGACAGTGGATGCTTGAGTCAGCTGACTGTACCTTACACATTATGACAATGATGCGTTATGAGAAATAAAATGTTGCACGGTTGAACGAGCCATATGGTCGATGATATAAATATTGGTAGTAGAACTCTCGTGGTTTTATAGAAAATATGGATTGAAGGTATTGTTTGTTTCTCGAGGTGAATGGTGTCGTAGGTAAAATGTCACGAACCCACTGTCAACGTTCACCTGTGCCACCTGTTCGCCCAGGTTGTTGCCCAATATACTTTAGACAGCAGGCAGATTAAAGATTCGTTCACCACTAGTTTAGACGAATCGTTTTAGTTCATGTCCATGTACTAACAATTCTTTTGTTTGCATACTTGCATTCATGTTTTATAGTAGCTGGTATAGCACGAGCCAATAACATTTGAGAGCTGGCTGTAAAGGAACATTTATTTGGTTGGACGTATTGAAGAATCATTCATTGAATGAGTCGCTGTCTAGGTTTATGTCTCCCCCCCCCCCAACAACAATAATAGCCTTAGTGATAAAATGTCATTGCCAACAGTTGACAAAATAGAGATAGAATTGCTTTATTGTTTATGAGGAAAATGACTATGACACTCTTGAGTCTATTAGTAAATTTGTAAGCATGACCATTTTATTTAAGGATAAAAATATTTTTTTGTTGACTGACATGGTTGAGTCGAGTGAATGGTTTAATGACTCTTCATAACACACTTGTAGCCACCTACTGACATAATGCAGAGCTGACAACTGAACGAATAGTTTTAGTAAATAAATTCAAAATAATTAAATTCACTGGGATGGATTAAAATCCTCACCACTAGTGTAGACTTGGAATAGGCTATGTCTTGTTTTGTTTTAATGAAAGAGCCCCTTGTTACCATGCTGGTCCCTTGAGACGTATTTTTAGGAAGGTGCTTAATGAGGCAACATCACCTCAGCCTGCTAGCTTGAGTCTGTACTGTACTTGTTGTCATAGATGCAGCCTTGGTTAGATGGCATGCTGCCTCCGCAAATCCAGTGGAAAATCACAGGAAAAAAGGCCAAAGTCATTGATGTATGTTGTAGTATTATCATGGCTGTCAAATTACAGGCTTATCTGTCTTTCTATCAGATTATTTTGTAGATCCTTGAATCCATTGCAAAGTTCTCCATAAGTTCACACTGTCCATGTAGCAAGGTAGAGGAACATAATTAATTACACTAAAGGTCTGTAAAATATCTGTCCATAGCATCCACACATGCATGTCCATCAGATGAGCTGTAATTGAGAGTTTGCATGTTTGACAATAGGTTATTGACATGTCAACCAAATTGATCCCAGATGTCCTTTAATAGCATTTCTTCACTGGATCATTCAAATGTGTAAGCGAGAATTCACAGTAAGAGAGAATGTAATTCACATCAACAGGTAGCTGGTAAAGCAAGAGTCATACTGCAAGCCACAAATTGAATCGTTTTCTCTACCACAATTTCATTACGCTAAGTAAACAGTGCTTATTTTAATGTCTTCAATAAGGTCACAACATCCCACATCCCATGACAGTCCTATCCCCCCTTTCCTTAATTATAGTAAAGGAGCACTTGCACTGGCTCACCACCATCTCAACTGCTCACTGAGTGCAAATGTATTAATGCAACTTTTCCATTCCTGTGGTTTACAGATAAGACTTGAACCATTAGCTTTTTTTTCCCCTACCTAAATGTCATGCTCCAGCACTCAGGAGAATTAAATGGCTTTTATTTGAAGGCAGGCTATGATGTCTCCGCTCAGATCGGCCCTCTGAGCACCGAGGCTCACTCTCTGAGTGCCTGTCTAAAGCTGAAGCTTAGACAAACTTGCATGAGTCACATGATTGTTACATAGCTCCCTGCATTCCTATATTTTCCTCTGCCCATTGAGGAGGCTGAGCTTGGGAGCTTTATGGCTTGAGAAGTTGCTCACTCATTGCAGTGAAGCCCCTCCCGCAGGAGTGAGAGGATTGAGCTCTGAAGGAGTAACCAAAGCAAGTATCAATGGAAATATCACAGAGGTATAGAAACTCACAGGGGTTTCTAACCGGGTTAATTGGATTGAAGTGAAAGATCTAGTCCTTGAACTCCATGGCAGTTCCTTTTGTGGTAATGACTGGGTTGGGCTCTGTCAGATCTGATAAGTGCTTTTGAACAGAACATTCCTGTGTATTTACTCTTTTCCATGTTTCCACCAAATGTATGTGTGGAGTATAGGAGGCCTTGTATATTTTATAGTTAAAGGGGTATTTTACATACATTGTCATCATTTATTCAGCCTAATGTTTTTTTTACAAAAGGATGTGTCATGTAGAATGATAGCCAGCCTTGGTTACCATTCACTTTGACCTTGTGAGTTAGATTGTAATAATAATTTATTCTCTAGTGCTTGTTGTCTGAAGTGAGTTCTGGTCTACATTGTTAATTAGCAGCTGTGAATTCATGAATATATTATTCTGAAATGTCACAGACTACCTTTTTGTAATGTAATGAACAGCTCTCTCTGTTTAATCTTATCTTTTTTCCTTATCTCACTCTGTCTTTCAGCAACACTCCAGTATGGCGGAGAGTATGATGAGTAAAGCAGCCACTATGGAGATTCCTATTAACAGTAATGGGGACTCTAGGAATCTGGCAGAAGATGACAGCCTGGAACAGGTGAGTGATACATGTGATTCAGCTGCATTAGGCCACATTTTAATAGTGATTTCAATGTCAAAAAGTGGTCCAGTTTACCTGAACCCACCCTAATGATTCAGTTTTGAGTCTGATTGTTAGAGTCTGAAATCTAGCTGTCTACCAAGTTTGTTTAGTTTTGTTTCACAATATCAACCATGAGAAAAAAACCTCAAGGTAGCAGGTGATGCAAACATTGCAGTTCATCATTTTTTCAGCTTTTTCTTGGAGATTTGAAACAAGTAGTTACAAATTAAGGTTGAGTAATAGTAATATGCATTTGTTTCGTAAAAATGACTTCATTTGAAGTCTAGGATGTGTCTTCCTTGTCTTTGTGTTTCAGGAGTAACAGGCTAATGCAGCCAAGCACAAAGTGTAAATCTCCTTATTGTTCAAACCACTGTAAATAGTCGTAATGTTGTCACAAGACACACCTCTGTAAGACAACTAAACTGTGGCACTGGATCCGGGAGAAGACGTGTTGGGCAAACACAAGCGAGATATTTGCTAAGAGGTTTAATCATTCCTATAGGATCTAAAGGTTATTTGTTTTAAAAATAGGTAGGCCTATATATATTTTTGTCATTCTCATGTAAAGTCCATTTTAAAAAGCTCATCCCAGGAAGACCACTGCTGATCATGTTCACAGTTGCAATAATGGCAAAGCTAAAGGCAGATGGCACTTTGGCATAAAATTGTGTCTTTAAATAGATCGGTAGCATTAGAATGTGAAAACAGACTTTTTAAGTGTTCTTGTCTTTACCCAGAGAGAGAAAGAGTGGCATTTTCTTTTTTTAATCCCCATCCATTTGTTCACTGATGTTTAGAGTGACAAGGATCTGTTAGCAACCCACTTTATGAAGAGGGTTTATTCATTGCTCAATGAGGGCTGAAATTATGCAAAGTAGTGTAACTCAATGTATTTTTTTTTTGTCAAGCCTTTGAAGTCTGTCATTGTTGTATTAACAGGTGCTAAATCGACCCTAAAATATGGATTCCATTGTGTTTGATAGATTATTTTATCATCACTGTTTTCAAGTTTGTTTTTGTTTCACATTGTGCTTCATTTTTGGTTTGTTTTCTTTCTTTTGTCTTTTTGTTGTCATGTTCTTCCCTGATGTCTGTGCAGGCTACAAAGATTCAGTGGAGCTTAAGAGAGAAGGTAGGGAGTCCCGCAGCCCTCAGGGTGAGAACGAACACTGGGAAGGGTGTGTGTGTGTGTGTTTGCTTGCACGTGTATGTCTTTCCAGCAGAAAATGGTTTTAGTTCTCCCCATAATCTTGTCTCAATAAACGGGATGTTTTTCAAATCACATGCATTATTTTTTGGCCTCTGTCACTCCATATTAATCAGTGTTTGAGGTTAGATACAAATCCAAATTATACAGATTTTCTTTGTTTTGAAAAACATCCTGTTTTGTCCCTTTGTGGTATTAACCAATGGCTAGTGACCTTTTAGTACCTATTAACTCTACAGTATGTTCAGTGGATTTTGTATTATAATAATTCTGTTTTGTTATTTAAAGGGGCCACTGCATACAGTACAGAGCGTACTGTATACCAGGATATGTATCCCATGAGCCTGTTTATGTCCTGGCAAAAACAACGCATTCATTTGACTTTTGTTTTACAAGTGAAAAAGTACTATTCCGTATAGTACTACATAGTCATATACTTGTACATTACATATATAAGTGTCCATTATATAAATGGACTTTGTTCCTCCATCATTAAAATGTATAATAATTAGTGCTGTCAATCGATTAAAAAAAAAAAATTTAATTGCACATTTTCTTTGTAATTAATCACGATTAATCGCCCTAACATTAACATTTTTAATACATTTTTATATTGTAATAATTTCACATTCAATTGCCAAATTAATGTAGAAAGAAACAACAAAGTCAGTATATTTTAAATATTTGATCTAACAGGTAGTAAATATAGGCTACAGAAATTGAATAGTCATCAAACACTTCATAGTTTTCACTGCATAAATTATAAATTTAATATAGAAACATTTTTATTAAAGCTACAAAAGGTTTTCAGTCAAGAGCAGTGAGTGATTTTTCTCTTTTTATTTTGTTCTTTGATTTACATTAATGACAGACAGGAGCAGGCTTATTAGGCTGCTGTCACTTTAAGACCTGCTGCACATGACGTTGATCTGACATGCATCCCATTTTCATAAATCTTTACGTTCATTTAAGACTGAAGAACTCAATGCGGCATAGCACACGCCTGTACCGCACTTAGTTTGTGTCTTATTGCGCTTGAATGGTTTAAAAGCATTTACATGAATAAGAGTGATCATGTAGCTAATGTAATGCTAGCTTTATAAAAAAAGGATGCTCCGTTAATTGCATTAAATATTTTTAATGCGTTAAACTGAAAAAAATAATCAAAAGCGTTTACGCGTTAATTTTGACAACTCTAATAATGATACATTTAAATGTAACTTTCTTCTTTAACTAGTTAAAGGTACCGTATGCAACTTTTGTCCCTCTAGCGGTTAAAAAACAAAACTGCATGTATTTTGCGGAAGGACATTGTTTTGGTTGTGCTTCGGCTCTGCGTGACTGTGTGGATGAATATGGTTATCCTACTGCTCATAAAACATTAACTACTTGGCTTAAGAGATATAACCAGTTTAGATGGAAAGGATCTCAAGCTGACTAGCTGAAGATGTTACGGTAGCTTTACCCATTAATAGACACGGTACTTCCTTGAAAATAAATTCCAACACAGCTTTACAACAACATAATGAAATTACCCTTCACAATAGATAATTCTTTACAGAGCTACAATGGCAATTTATCAGTTTAATAAAATATATAGTAATAAAAACGCTATCTCCGTGTCACTTTTACAACATTTCAAATCCCTCAGTTCTGGCCATCTCCAAAAAGCCAGGCCAATGTCGATTCTTGTTTTATTACAAGCTCTGTTGCGTTCTCTTTGTAAGTAGAAGCTTCTCTGTTGGGTGTTTGTTTAAAATTGCTGATTCCCCTGAGGTTTGAGATTTACCGTGCTCCATGTCATCAGCCTTTCTTGCTTGTTGTGTCAACTAACCTATGCCACTCCCACACGAGTCGCTAGTCTGCAATTTTGCTCGAAAAGCTTCCCTCTTGGTCTAAAAGTAAGACAAAAACACCTTTTTGAAGAAGGATTGATGGTGTATTGACTATTTACAAATTATTATTATTATTTATTTATTTTTTACAAAAAAAGTTACATAGTGCACCATTAAAGAAAGTTGACTTAATATTGTGATTGTTTAACACATAAAAACAATTATTTTATCAAATCGATGCGGATTTGTTATTTATTTGTAAGAAGGCTCTTTTTTGTAGTTTATGGTCTCAGATAACATGTATGCTTTGGTGTGGCTTGTTGACCGTTTTATAGTCACTAATGGGACTTGTTTCAGATAACTGTTCAGACTGTTTCCTTCCTTGTGCTGTAATTGCCTGGTAAGCTTTGGTGTCAAATTCCTTTACTACAACAAGGAAACGCATGGATTTTTCAGAGGGTTTGTTTTCACAGGAAGTTGCATATGAATTTTTTTTATGTCTCACAGACACATGATTCTTATTAATTCTAGATCTAATGTGATTCTAACCCTAAAATGTTCCTTCTAACAATTAACAACTTTTGCCTATGTTTGTGTGTTTAGAACTTACACAAATGGCTCACTTTATGACAAAATAATTTGTAGGATCGCAAATTTGAATTCTTAAGATCTCTTCTTTTCTGTTTCCATGTCTGTAGGACTTGCAACAGGTCATGGTGTCTGGGCCCAACCTAAATGAAACCAGCATCGTATCAGGTGGTTATGGAGGTACGACGGAAGGCATTATTCCAACCAGCTCTATCAAAGGTATAAGAAACCCTGTCATTCTTTAACTCTTCACTGTTCTTCATCTTCTTCCAAAACCCAATTACTACTTCTGCAGTGAATACGTAAAATACAGTCTCACCTAGCAATATGCATATATTTAAAATCACCTGGGCAAAGAAATTCCAGTATAATTAGGCTGGCTTTAGAATCACTTTTTCTTTTCTTTTTTATTGGTGGTATTTACCATGTTTGAAATTACTTGGCTGACATTTGTACTCTCAGACGCAAACACGTATATTTTTTTGTGGAGAAGTTGTTGGAATTGTACACTATGGTTGTACAATAATTTCCTTGCTGTGTTTTCCACTCCTTTCTTTCCTATGGTGCAATCCAAATGAGAGCCAGGGCCTCTGGCATTGGCCATTGTGTGTATAGGTAGTGTGTGAGTCGTTCTTAATGGCTTTATAGTTTGACATTAACCAGAGTGAAAAAGGCCACAGGTCCTCTGGTATCCTTTAGTTTTTTTTTTAAAGTTTTTTTTAAATGGGACCTATTATGCTAAATTCACTTTTACATGGTGTTTGAACATAAATGTGTTCTGCTTGATGCTGTTCTGCAGGAATACATTTAATTACTTCTGTTTTTCGGGCTTTTATTTTCTCTCTAAGCACATTTAATATTCAACAATATTATTGATCTGCCTGCATTGACACCATTATATGAGAACTTACTGAACTGAGCTGGACGATGACACGACTGTTTTCTCCAGAGCAGCTATATATATAAATGAACTAAATGAATAACTTTTTTACAAAAAAAAAGAACCATAACTGAACTTAAGCAGGACAATGACGCTGTTTTCTTCTAGATCTGTTTGTACAGCAGAAACAAACTTTGTTGCATTATTTTTTCCTGTTATCACTGTAAAGCTGCTTTGAAACAATCTGTATTGTAAAAAGCACTATATAAATAAAGGTGACTTGACTTGAATTGGAACGGCTGCATTTTTTTTCCTCTTCTTTCTTCCACGCTTAAGCTTTTTTTTTTTTTTTTTTTACTAGTAGGAACTTTGTAATGAGGAATCTTTTGTCATTTTGTTTCGGAAATCCGTTTGAAACTTTAATCTGGCTTTAATCTTGCTGTCTTTGTCGAGGAAATATTTAGAAAAATCTGCTGCAGAATGGCTGGGTGTAAAGTATGTTTGGAAACTTTCAGAACAGTTACTGTCTGATACTCCTAGTCACACTCTGTTTCTGTGTAAATGAACACTAAAAATAAATGATCAGGCATATTGGATTTTCAAAAAACAATTATGGGTTTTTGTGAACTTTTTTGTTTGTTTATGTGAAATTTTTGTTTTTGACATAACCTTGTGTGTATTTGATAGTTAAGTGCAATACGATGAAAGAGAACTTTGTTTAATACTCTTGGGACGCGCCGTCTAACATCCAGCTTTCTGTGCGCGTACTTCGGATGTCTGCGCTCAAATAACCTATATGCCTTTATATACAGTAGTCAACATTTGAAGTGGATTGAAACCTGTCATCAAAGTTATACATGAATTTTGAACAATTCCAGTTCTTGTCTTAGGACAACTTTGATTGAACCTTTTTGATCCACTTCCAATGTTGACTACTGTATTACGATATGGCTTTAAAACACATGCAGATAATAAACTTTCACGATGATGACGAACTTCAATGTCACGTGAGCGTTACCACGATAGAGATGATAATCAATACCAAACAGATGTTATAGTTTTTTGGCTGAGTATCTGAGGCATGAGCTGTAAAGGCTCCGCCCTCTTCTGGAATGCGGGGTAGAGAGCAGCAGCTCATTTGCATTTGAAGATACATGCACGAAAACGGCATGTTTATCCTTCCACTAAAATGGGCATTTACAACATGGTATAGTAAATGATCTGTGGGGTATTTTGAGCTGAAACTTCACAGACACATTCTGGGGACAACGGAGGCCTATATTACATTTTGTAAAAAGGGGCATAATAGGTCCCCTTTAAATGAATGTCCCCTGTAATGAAAAATATATAAAAAATATTCTAACCAAAACGGACTGCTTTTGATTTGATTTTAATTTAGTTTCATGTATCTAACAAAATGACTTTGTCTGGACAGGATATGTTGTAGATCTGATTGTAAGGTGATCACCTGGGACCTTAATATCAGTGCAAATTTATTCCCTTCTGATTCAGTGAGGACCTTCTGTCTCTTTAACCCTTTCTCAGGCCCTGCAATCCATCTTAACACTGACTTTCTAGGCAACAGACACATTCCAAATGAAGGGCAAGGTCATTCATCCCTCATTCGTACCCGATCTCACTTATTTCTCTATTTCCACCTTCCCATGATGCCTTGTATTATTGTCCTTTTCTAAGCCATTTAGTCTTTTCCTAGGGCATAGGATGCTGTTCTGCAGGAATACATTTAATCACTTCTGTTTTTCTGGCTTTTGTGTTCTCTCAGATTGGAACAGGCTGCATTTGTATTTCTCTTCTTTCTTCCTGGGTTAAGGTTGCTTTTTTCTCTGGCAGGAAATTTGTAATGAGGAATCTTTTGTCATTTTGCTCCGGAAATTAGTTTTGAAACTTTAATCTGGCTTTAATCTTGCTGACTTGTCGAGGAAATGTTTAGAAAAATCTGCTGCAGAATGGCTGGGTGTAAAGTATGTTTGGTAACTTTCAAAACAGTTACTGTCTGATACTCCTAGTCACACTCTGTTTCTGTGTAAATTGACACTTGCAGTTAAAAATAAATGTTCAGGCATATTGGGGCTTAAAATAACAGTTCTGTGTTTTTGAGTGAACTGTACATTTTCTCCATCTGTTTGTCATGAGGCAGCAGATTTAACAAAACATCAGTCATGTGCTTTCCCGTGTTCATTTCATCTCGTTACATTATCACCTTCTCTCTCTCACACCCTCCATTTTTTCCCCTTTCCCATTCCTCCATCTTCCTGATCTTCCTTCACATTCACACACATATGCACTGGCATTATTCTATACACGTCACTCTCATGTGGTGCAATCCATTCCATTCCATTTTCCCAATTGCCTAAACTTCTTTTTAAACTTTTTAACATATCCACCACTCACTCCCTCTTCCCCATAACCCTTTATTCCCCCAACATCCCCTGCTATTCCTGGCCATGACCCCCTCCAGACCTGCGAATTTAGTCCAGGGATGTTAGCATTGCCCCAAGCCAGATTGCAGCCTGCTGAATAGCCAGCCAATCAGATGACGTCCCCTGTATCCCAAGTATCCCAAATGGTTCTGGATCATTTAAGTGCTCTTTGGCAACATTCCCCCCCCTATTTAGTAAAACACATTCATTTATTCTCTCATCTCATCTGTTTCACATACAGCTGATACTGTCTTTCTGTCTGTCTCTCTCTCTGTAATTAATGATGGCCACAATATCTGAAAATGTGTAAATTATTGTGGAAGTCTAGACATTTGTTCAGTGTATGTGTGTGTGTAATTGGAGACTTACTGTAAGCATTTTCTGTGTATCAGGGTCCAACATGCATCACACCAGTAGCAATTCCTCCATGACAGCAGAAGAGGCCACAAGAGGCGTTGCTGTGGAGAAATTTGACATCGTGAAGAAATGGGGCCTGAACACATACAAGGCTTGTCAATTAACTTTTTATCTTTTCTGTTTAGATGTTATGTGCTGTTAGCCACTCCAATTTTGAAGCCTTTTGTATTTATGGTTCTCTCCCTTAGTGCACCAAACAGATGATCTCTGAGAGGTTTGGCCGAGGCTCACGTACTGTGGATTTGGAGCTGGAGGCTCAGATCGAGGTTCTGCGGGAAACCAAACGGAAGTACGAGAGTGTGTTGCATTTAGCGCGAGCGCTAACCAACCACTTTTACAGCATGGTGCAGACGCAGCACGCCCTTGGAGACACATTTGCCGACCTCAGTCAGAAGTCTCCAGAACTCCGGGTGAGACGCCATGGTCATCTTAAGATTTATGACATTTGTTGTGAATGTCTCTAACATTGCTGGATGGATTGTCTAAGACTAAACAATTGAGCAGTCAACTGTCTAAACCTAGTTAAACAATTAAGCAGTCAACACTACAGACATACTTCCAAAAAAAAGGCTTTTTTTATTTTACTCTCCAGACTTTTGACATGCATATTTATTTATATATAAAAGATACATCCATGTGAAATCATTTGAAAGCATAGCAACTAAACTTATATAATAAAATGCAGGAATGTCATATTAAACAGAACTTTCAGAATTAGGGGGGTTGAGACATCAATATATAGTCATGTTTTAGCATTTTGTCATTTCTATTAGTTATTTATCTTTTTTTTTACTTCAGTTTACAACAACTTTTAGTGCTTTTTAGTGCTTTTATTTCAATTAGTTGCCAAGCCAACGTCTAATTTTCACTAAGTTTTTTATCTAAAAAAATATATTTTATGTTATTGTAGCTTCATTTCAATTAAAATGTTTTTAATAATTTTAGTTTTAGTTCAAATAACAACACTGCAATAGAGTCAAATAGTCACACTCACGATAGTGTACTGTGGTATTGTTTTTTCACACAGGATGAGTTTGGATACAATGCAGAAACACAGAAGTTGTTGTGCAAGAATGGAGAGACTCTGCTCGGTGCCATCAACTTCTTTGTGTCCAGTATCAACACACTGGTGAACAAAACGATGGAAGACACACTGATGACTATCAAGATGTATGAGAATGCCAGGTAAAAGCTTCTTCAGCAAAAAAATAAAATTCTTTAAGGTGTTTAAAGTGATTCAATTCTCTGCAATATGAAATGGCACTGGGCAGTACTTTCTGTCAGGACTTCAAGCACTTAAATTGTGTTTTAAGTTAATTAGCCTATGATGCAACTGGACGTTGAGAGGGTCAATATACGTTAGAGTTGTCTGGGTTAGTATAGAATATTACTGCACGTGCAGACGAGATGGTATTGAATAAACTCAGAGTGATACACCAAATGGCACTGACACTGGCTGGCCCTCTTACTCAGTCTTTTGATTGAAAATAAAAAAGGAAGAAGCATGTCCTCTATCAGTTATTTGCAAAAACATAGACAGAGCAGCAGCTTTTGACAGCCACAAGACCACGCAAACGTGGTGAGTGTGAGTTAGAAATCAGGAATGATGAGAGAACATTGGGCGGTATGACCAAAATTCTATTTCACGGTATGACTAATTTTATTTCACGGTAACGATATATTTCACGATATAGTTATTTATATATAGTTATTCTCGAAAAATCGACAAAAAGGGGTTTGTATAATAAATAAACCCAAATACTTTAGAAATGATAAGTACTTCACATTGTTTTCTGTTTCTCTTATTTGGTAAATTATTTATTTGGAAAACTATTTAGATAGCTAAATATACACACAACACACTCATCAACTTTTAGATGAACTGCCCCCAACTGATTGATATTAAATACAACTCATAGGTGCAATTAAACTTTAAATAAAGTGTTTCTGAATAATTTTTCAATCTCATGTTATGCTTTACTTCATCAATCAGTTTATAATATCTGAATATTTTATATTGAACTATTCTATTCATGATAAATTAGTTATTTCCTTTTAATTTTGTACTAGTTATGTTTGTTCCCCGGTACATTTCTGCCCTGTCTGCTTATACACTGCGTTTTTAAGGAGCTTGTTTTGCTCTTTTTGTGATATCTGGCAACCCGTCACCCTGCGCTTTAATCAATAGAAGTGACTAAAGGAGAGCAGCAGTTTGAAAACCGAACAGCAGCTACTGTTAGTGTTGACAAAGTAGCCTAGTTTAAATTATACACACCTTGTAACTGCGTCATTATTTGACCATAGCCTGGTGAACACCGGCCACGCTCCCTCTCAGTGCGTGTGCACGCGCGCGTCTTCTGCATCAGTAAAATGCGATGGGTTCATTTGAGTGTCAAGTTGTAATCACGTATCGAATCAAAGGAAGATTTTATCAGCTGGTTCGGTGGCCAATTGTTTGGAGTTAGAAATATATAACTCGCGAATCGCGATGCATATTTAGTAATTTTGCCTCAGATAGGCTGATTATACATTCACTTTAACAAGCAGGTTGTTCATTACCACGGGCGGCAATGTTTGCGTGTTTAAAAACTATACATAAGAGACGGAAAGATGCAGATAACTATACATTATTTAAGGTTATATTTCTATTCGTTACGATATATATGAACTGTTGTTGTCCAGCTTTCCCCGTTGCGAGCGTGCACTCCTCTAATCTGTAGCCTGGGTGCTGCACTGCTCTAGTTAACTGCTGCGCCTTTCCCCCCGAAAATATCACGTTAACAACAACAACAACAACCACCCTTTAGAAAATGTAATTCCTTTGTGGATCCTCTTGATCTGCTTTCTCCGTGTTTCTTTTTACAATTCGCTGTGTTTCAGTCTCACGCACGTTGCACGCGAGTTAACCACGCCCACTCATTTGCATGTCGCGGTATACACGGAATAAAAAACTCTGTTACGGTTGACATTTTCTACCGCGGTAACGATATATACCGTCATACCGCCCAGCCCTTACGTTTTTCGTCTTCAAACCAAACTTGGGTCTTCAGCCGACAAAGTTGAAATCCCATCTGGCTAGCGCGCTTCCCATAATGTTTACTCGTTAGGTCAGTAGGCATCTTTGTGGCTTTTCGAACACATTCAACTACATGAGCTTTTACACTATGAAAGCAATCTGATCAAATGCGTTTTCGACCAGCTCTGGAAGTGGTCGAAAGTGGACAAGCTCAAAATGTTTTAGACCCCGTTTACACCTGTATTTAGCGTCGTCCACTTGTGATCCGATCAACCAAAACACATCTTAATACCAAGTGTAAACAGGGCCTTAGTGTCAGATTTCACCATAAATAACTTTCAACTTTGGGCATCACATTGTATAAAAAGTACTAAATGTTGTATGTGCCATTTTTTTTAATGATTTTTCTCTGATGTCCTGTAGGCTAGAGTTTGATGCGTACAGAGCAGATCTAGAGGAGTTGAACTTGGGCCCGCGGGATGCTGTTACCATGGCTCGTATCGAGGCTGCTCAGCAGCAGTACCAGATCCAGAAGGACAAATATGAACGTCTTCGCAATGATGTCACCATCAAGCTCAAGTTCCTGGAAGAAAATAAGGTACGTGACCGCCCACATAACTTCCTCTTTAAGTCACTTAAAGGGATAGTTCACCCAAAAATGAAAATGAACCCATGATTTACTTTACTCAACCTCAAGCCATCCTAGATGTATATGACTTTCTTCTTTCAGATGAATACAATCGGAGATTTATTAAAAAATGTCCTGGCTCTTCCAAGCTTTATAATGGCAGTGAATGGGTGTTGATATTTTGAAGCCCAAAAAAGTGCATCCATCCATCATAAAGGTACACCACACGGCTCCGGGGGCTAATAAAGGCCTTCTGAAGAGAAGCGATGTGTTTGTGTTAGAAAAATATCCATATTTAAAACTTTACAAACTAAAAGCTTCCGGGAGACAGCCTACACAAGTCGACTTAAGCTAAAAGAGTAACGCCTGACGCGATGAATGATGTCGGATGTAGGAGTAGCGTAAGCTTTGACTCCTCTCACGGTTCAAACAAATAGGGCTAGGCAACAAACTCCAGCTCCTCCGACATTTCTCTTTAAAAATGTACATATTAGACTTCTAATTCGTGACCAGTGTTTTGTTTTGTTCCATCCTCTGTGCTTCCGTGTTCGTCATGCATCAGGTCAGGGGTTACTCTCTTGCCGTAAATCACGGCCATCTGTCGGAAACTAGTTATTTTTGTTTTATAAAGTTTTAAAAATGGAAATTTTTCTTACACAAACGCATCGCTTCTCTTCAGAATGCTTTTATTAACCCCCTGAGCCGTGTTGAGCACCTTTATGATGGATGAATGCACTTTTTTGGGCTTCAAAATATCAACACCCATTCACTGCTTAGAAGAGCCAGGATATTTTTAATAACAAAGTCATATACACCTAGGATGGCTTGAGGGTGAGTAAATCATGGGGTAATTTTCATTTTTTGGTGAACTATACCCTTAAGCAGCCCTTGATCTATCTGTTGTCTCTGTCTTGTCATCTAACATGGTGTGTTTGTGTATCTATCTCACAGGTAAAAGTGATGCACAAGCAACTTCTGCTGTTCCATAATGCCATCTCTGCCTACTTTGCTGGAAACCAGCAGCAGTTGGAACAGACCCTCAAGCAGTTCAACATTAAACTCAAACCACCAGGGGACGACAAACCGTCTTGGCTGGAAGAACAGTGAAAGTGCCCATTCACCCCTGATTTCCTGATATATGTCTTTAGCCAATCAGAGAAACACAGTAGGACCACAAGAGACCAGCAATCTGAGATGCTAGCAGAGACGGGGGTACAACAGAGCCTCTTTCCACTAACTCACTCTATACTTCTCTTCCTTGATTCTTCTCCTCTTATTCTTGCTCTGAGACTGTCAAGTGTCTGAATAGTCACCTCTGGTATGTAACCAGTCCCAAAGTGTCCAATCAAATGTCAAAGATATCAGTTTAAGCTTCATCCCTATAAATATCATTAAACCGACTGAAACAATCCTTCTGATATGTCAGTCAGAACAACTATTTCTTTTCAAGACTATTCTCAATATTGCTCACACTCGTCACACTCACACACACTTTCTCTTTGTCAGTGAACACATTTTCCTTTTGTTTTTCTGTGAAAAGTTTTATTTTGTCTTTACAATCTTTTTTTCTGTATTGTAGATGTGGTATTGTAGCTGATGGGGGATTCATATCATTCCTATCACAGAGCTTTCAGTGTTCAGTGTTGGTGGGTCTAACTAAAAGTGATTTTATTTGGATAAAATCCAGATATGAGTTTATCTGATATTAGTATTGCATCCTTGTATGTTTACTAGGCCATGAGAGTACTGTTGAATCAATGCTTGTCAAGTAGTCTCTCTTTGAAATACATGAAATATTACATTTAATATCTTAAAATGAGATGCTCATTTTAAGCTTTTTAGCCTCAAATTAATAATTCTTTGACACATGTTATGGATTGAATTTCAGCAGATGTGGGTGCAGTTTCCTGCACATTTTAACAAAGTCCAGAATGGAAGATGAATCTAAATATCACTGTCTCTTGTCAATATTGTTACATTTGCTTTACAGCTTTGAATAGTTGAAACATGATTGTTTTCTTGAAGGGAGAGGAGTGTCATTTTTATTTTGACAATTATAGTTTATTGTAGTATTATGTACCAATGCATAATACTGTATAATGTTTGTAGGTTTGTTAAAATCATTTTAAGTTAATAATCAGCAGTTAATTAAGGAAGCGTATGTATGAATTGTATATGATTGATTTAACATGGGCCAGTGATTAATGCCCACTATTATCTGCCTCTTTATCTAATGAAATGTGCACTAGAGTTTATGTACTGAGTTGTGTTCTGTTAGCATCAGCAAAGCCCTAATATTCTCCTATTATGCATTCAAATGCCACCTTAGAAATGGGTTCTGATGCACCCTGTTTAATGCCTTTATTTGCCTTTTTTTAGCAAAACAAAATATTTTTTCCCCCAATGAAAGATTTATATACTGATTAATATCATAGTTGCATTTTTTGCTTTATGTCATAGTACTACTAATATATTATTTCTTTAGCCCTCAATGTTCACAGGAAATGTAGTACAAAATCAAATATATTTAAAAAAAAAAAAAAATTGCTTTTTTTATTTGTATGTTTTTTTATTTGTGATGTGATGGTATACTGTCTTACTGGGTTTTCACTACATAATTTTTCACCTAAAATATCTACAGTATGCGATAGCCTTGATGCAGTGATAATGGGGTTGCAGACTGTCAGATTAGTTATTGTCAGTCTAGTTTCGTTTTTTATTTCATTACATAAGACTGAAATAACGACTATGATCTAATGTTCAGAACTTTTGAACATTGCACTAAATCTTTCTAAGCTTGAGACGAAGCAATACTGAAGATGTTTCTAGAAACTGTATTCCCATGTATGCCTGTATTGGCTGTTCCCTGTGTGTTTTTGCATGGCAGGTCTGATGGCATTAGTTGTACATTTCCATGCATTGTAATTCATTCCTGTTCAATGCTTCAGTAAAACACTACATGGGTAGTAGTGCTGGAAAATATTGTTTCTAGGAAAAAAGAAAAAGGTTACTCATGAATGTTAAAGAATGCTTGAAATTTAGTTTGAATGTGGTGTAACCTAGTGATTTTTTTTTTTCAAATTGCCTTTTACTTTTTGTTTTGTTTTGTAAAGGCCACTGTCACCTCAGAAGAAGAAAAATTGTCAGATGTTTTTTATATCAATTGTTTTGTTTGTTTGTTACATCCTGTACAGTTGTCAGGCAGCAGAGATGGCACTGTGTGTGATTATTTTCTTGTTGAGAGCTGGAGAAAAGGATTCCATCTCGAGCCATAGAGACTGAACTGATCCATGAAGTGAAAGACATTTGTTCCAGAGCAATAGGATTTTAAATTTAGACCTCCTCAACACTAAACCTGGATATTATTGTTGATTTTATTTTGATGACGTGTTTGGTATTGAAATGGTCACTCCATTAGTCGGCCTAGTTTAGCATAGCAGAATGAAAGGGTTATAAATATTACCATATTTATGTACAATCAATATTTTAGGCTGCTTTGTAGTATTGTAGTGTATGAATGATTGTATATATGTAAAGATAATTAAGACAGATTTTGAAACTGAAAGCTCATCATGATGTTAGCCTTTGCTCCTGGCTTTGACTAAACCTTTGACCGACAAATGTACAAGAACCCACCAGATAAAATTTGAAAAGTTTGCAAAAATGGACTTTGTGTCATTTATCTTGGCTGATGTCCTGTTTTGGTTTGATCCCATTTTCCCCTTAAATTATACAAACATCAGCAGGCCATGCTAAATTAATGCTGACCACTAGAGGGTAATGTTGAATATGATACTTAACAAGTTTTAGGGCCAGTGCTCCAGTAACGTGATTAAAACTTTCGATCAATGGATGATAAATAAAAATCGATTGTTAACCTTTACACAACTGAAACATTGACTGAATAGATAACCAACGAGCTTTCTACAAAAAAAAACTTTAACGGTAACTTAGCTGCTACATCTGTTTCTGAAGAGGAAGAACTTAATGTTTATGCAATAGGCTAAAATAGATTGTGTAACAGGTTTTAGACTGGAATCAAAAGTCAAATTCTGACATTGTTTATGTTTGACTTGTTGAATAAATCCGATAGAGGGCATTATAACTTCATTTTTGAGGAAATACAACGCAAAACGTCATGACTTACCTTTAAGCTTCTCAGTACCGTTACATTTCAAACTGTAGACCCGTTTTAACCCAGCGTACTGGGTTATTAGCCTACTAAAAAAAGAAAGAAAATTATAACCCAGTGTGTGCATATTTTCCTTTCTTCTTTAACTATGTAAAATGTTCTTCTTTATTTCTGAAAAAGTATTTTTAAGAAGCAAAGGTGAGTGTTGTTGCTCAGGTGAGGGGAGGATATCGTGCGTGAGGGGCGTGGCTACTCTCATCCATTAAAGTGCTCGTGCTAGTAGTAGTTGATGGCGTTTGACCTGGGGAGTGTCTGATGACTTTCTCCAGCAATGGACGTCAGTTGATTAAGCTTTCATCAGCTTTAATCTGTTGTTTAATTACCGGTACGTACATCCAAAATGAAATTAATTTTCTGTCACTTACTCTTAATGTTGCTTTTCTCCTGGTTTTCTGATAATCGGTGATGTTGGACTGACTATAAATTATTCACTTTTTTGGGAGTTAACACATTTCAGATGTATTAATGTCAGTGTATTTTCACTATAATTTTGGACAATTGCAGAGTTAAATATTGTGTTTCAAACGGCAGAACTCGAACAATGTAGTGATCTCTATAAACGTATTTGATTGCTCGGTCTTTTTTGTAAACAGTGGAATTGCTGTGCGTTAAAGAAGTCATGTTTTTGCTAGTGTAATTTAATGGGAAAAAAAAGCTTTTAATAAGGATGTGTGTGTATATATAAACATATTGTTTATATGTTATATTTATATGTTAATTATCATAATAACCCAATGTGCAGGCTATATGATGTTCACGTCAAAAGTACTTGTTTAAATGTTGGAATTGTTGCTCCTCTTACATCTGAAAAGTAAATTAAGCAGCCAGTAGAGTTTAAAAGTAGAGACCAAAGTATGTGTGATATGTAAATTGTCCTTTATGCCTGATAACGTTAATCAAATTGTTTGTTTAACTCCCTGTTAAAGTTCCTGGGCAAATTGGTCTTGCAAAGTATTATCTGACTTTGTGGTTTGCTCACACGGCTTTTTCAAATAAGCAACTTGTTCTTCCAGTCTAAGTGTTATCATTGGTATGCACATGTTTGCTATTTTTAATTCGGGTCATTTGGTTGCATCCACTGTATCCAACAAACAGTCTTAATGGTCCACCATCTGTTCCTAAATTGTGGCTTTACTTATGTTATTGATGGTAGAAATCTTGAAAGTTATTTTTCAGAAGTCCATTTCTTGCTTCTGTAGGTATTCTGTTCTAGTTTAGCACATCATTTGCCTCTCATTGATTTGTATTTTTATATTTCTGTCAGATCCCTCCAGCCAGTGAACTGGGTTTTTGGCCATTGGACGTCCACTCTGTGTCCTCCAATGGATGGAGCTCCAGTTGTAACCACGGCACCTCTTCCTCCTGATCTGTCCAGGTGCTTTCAAAATGAGACCTCACCCTTCAGACGTACCACCCTGCCCCTTTCTCTGGGCCCTCCCCCTCCTCCTCCTCCTCCTCCCCCTCCCCCTCCACCACCACCACTTCCACCCCCACCGCCCCCACCTCCTTCACATTTGGGGGACCCCTTCATCCGGACTGTCCAACAGCGCTCAAAAATGCGCAACTTCAACTGGGACGCAATCCCCAGGCACAGCGTGTTGGGCAAGCGCAACGTGTGGACAGCCCAACGCAACCTTGAGAACTTTGAACTGGACACTAAGCGCATGGAGGAACTTTTCAGCCACAAGGAGCACCATGGTTTGGTCCGTAAGGGTGGGACGGTCAGAAAAAGTGTGTGGGGCCTTTCGCAAATCACTACAGAATCAGAGAATGTAAGTGCCTTTACTTAAAAGTTGTTAACTGTCACCTCCTTTTTGAACATACAGTATGTGAAAATGCACTATCTGAACTTAAATGTTTGTTATTCATGAATGATTTGTAATACAGACCTAAGGTTGGTCTCTTTTTAAAGAAGACACTCAGCAGGTTAGGTGATTTTGTTCCAGAAACTATTTTTGTTATGCTGGTTGAAAGTCTCTTCACATCCTGATAGCAATCACTAAGTTAAGTGGTCAAAATGTATAGGCTATATATTGTCTGTGGAAGGCGTATGACCAATAAATGTTCGCCCAATCATTGTATACGGTCCGAATTCGATTTTGAAGACGCTCTGAAGGGAGGGTGGGATCTAATGCTTTCAAAGCTCACTCGCTATTGCTAGTCTCTCCAGAAAATCTTTAGCACTTCAAAAAAATGAAAGTGTAAAAAAAGTTATAGAAGTTTAAGTTTACTGTAAAGCAAATGTACTGCACTAAACGTCTTTTCTTTTATACAAAAAAAATTTTTTACTAAACAATTTGGATTCATAAGCAAAGCCATATGTCTAACCAAGTTGTGTTCTAAATTCTGTCTCAAAACAGTGGACAAATATGGAAACCTTGTATAGCGAGCCGCTACCGGGACAGTTGTTAAGCCAAACTTTGTTGTAAAGCTGAGGATTTGTCATTAATAACTAGTCGTATACATACAGTACTTTCCAGTGAGGCCCTTTGGCTGGGACAGCACTGCAGGGTTGACAGACAGCTCAGATGTCATCTCTTGTGTATCAAGATTCGAAGTTTAGTAGCAAGTGGGTGAATTAAACATGACATGTAGTTACTTGTTAGTGGCCTCATTTGTGTCTCTCACCTTTCAAAAGTTCAGGCTAATGATCTGGAGAGGTGACTCCAGTACTTATGCTCTGATAAAGCTTCAGTGTTGGACATACTGTGTTAGACTCATTTACTGCAGGTGGAAGAACAACAAGATTATTAGCTATGCTTGTTTGTTTTCCAGTGCATTCTAGTTTAACCAACTTGTCCTGAGGTCATTTCAGTAGCTCAAACAACATACTTAACATATGAGAACAGATCAAATAAAAATAAAATGTCTAGATGACACGCTTCAAATGTCCTCCATTCAGACATTTATATTACATGCCGGGCTCATGGGTATTAGACCAGAGGTATTAAACATGAATAAACACAATCACATTTCCCCTTCAAAAGTATTTAAAACTGTGCTGCACGTGCAAAGTAATAATAGTCATTCTGAAATTGAACTGAATCTCTCATTATAGTGTTCTGAGTTAAGTACTCGTCTGCACTATTGTTACACATCTATTTCAGGAACATGTACTGTTTGTTAGGAAGTTATGTTGAGAAATGTTGAACTTTTCACAACAGTGTAGGCTCATGTCTGTTTGATTCCACTTCCATCTTCGCTTATACAATGAATGGTGCATGTTCAGCATCATGCTTCCTAGATTTTATTTTTAGTTGCTGTCACTGAATATATAATTTATGCTATATTCAGGGAAGACTTTCCCAGATTATGAGAAATTGACACCATGTATCTGCATTTTTTTTTTAGGTATCAATTCTCAACTCTAAGAAAAGTATGAGTATTGGGATTTTGCTAAAACAGTTTAAAAGGTAAGGTATTAAATTATTGTCCGTTTTCCTTAATTCCTAATAACATTTTTGCATCTCTTGAGCGAATCTTGTACATGTACAATGCATGGATAGCAAGGCAATCTAAACCTTATAAGTAATATGTGTGAATTGCTGAGACCTCACGAAATAACTCTTAGGTAGCCATTTAAAAACATCTCGTCTGTGGTTCGGTGTGCTTCTCAGGCAACCAAAAGACATTGTAGATGCGGTCAGGCACGGTCAACTATGCTTTGCTTCCGGGAAACTGAAGGAACTCAACAAGCTGTTGCCTGATGACATGGAGGTAAACTGGCTTTCTCTATATGACTGCATTGTGCTATGCTTTTGTTCTGTTTTTATAGGGTTGGTTCACCCAAAAATAAAAGTTCTGGCATCATTTACTCAAGTTGTTCTAAACCTGTATGAGTTTCTTTCTTCTTTTGAACACAAAATAAGTTATTTTGAAGAATGTTGGTAACCAACCAAACCAATGTTCTGGTCCCCATTGACTTGCATAGTATTTTTTTAATACTATGGAAGTCAACTGTTTGGTACCAACATTCTTCAAAATATCTTTTTGTGTTCAACAAAAGAAAAAGGTTTAGAACAGCAGATTGAGGGTGAGTGCATAATGACAGAACTGTCCCTTAAACACTGCTTATGTATCGACACGTTCCAGACAAAGAAGCTGATGTCATTCAATGGAGATTTATCTCAGCTAAATGATGCTGACCGTTTCATGGTGATGCTGGTTCAAGTACCAGGGTGAGTTTTTCTGTCATGGTTCAAAGCATGTGAAAGGCCAATTTCTGTGCTGTTTTGGGGGGAAATTCTGTGGGAACATATTTATACGTCAACCGCTAATTTAAATGGGCTTTAGCTAAAAAGCTGCTAATAATTCTGTGACTTTTATTTGTTTTCAGGTATAAAGTGAGATTAAAGAGCCTGCTCCTCAGAGAGGAGTTTTTTCCCTTTATAGATGAGATCAAGCACTCCATTGCTGTCATGACAACTGCTGCTAATGGTACTTCAAAAAGTCTAAGACCACCAGTAAAAATGCTTCATTTCTTTCACTAGAAATTATGTTATCAGCAAATTAAGTTAGGTGAAAATTGGCTTGTTTGTGTAAAACCTCATGATCATGTTCTCTAGCATTATTTGAAAATGGTCCAGAGAGCATATTGTGCTTCAGTGGAAGCACGAACATTTTACAGTCTGTGCAAAGTTCAGCATTCTAATATTCTGATTTAGTGCTCAAGAAACAATTCTTTTTTTCTTTTCTTTGTAGAACAGCATTTAGATGAAATCAAATTATTAATGTCTTTACTGTTACTTTTCATCAGTTTTGCTAAATAAGTAAGTGTTGATTTCTTTCAACAACAACAAAAAAATAAAATAACGACCCCAAACTTTTGTCTACCTATTAGAGTTGCTGGCATGTGATGACTTGCATTCAATCATCAGACTGGTGCTGAAGGCTGGCAACTACATGAATGCCGTGAGTGTCACATGGTCTGTTCCGAGCTGCGTTTCTGAAAAGCATCGTGAGCTAAGATAATCGCAGAGACCATTGGTGGTAATGGTTCTGCGATCAACTTAGACTTACGATGCTTTTGGGAAACGCAGCTCTGTTTGTTATAAAGACACTATTCCTGAGTGTGAACTACAGCTGGAGCAGATAAATGACTTTTGCTCCATCTTGTTCAGGGTGGCTATGCAGGTAGTGCCATTGGCTTCAGGATGGCATCGTTGCTCAAATTGGTGGACACCAAAGCAAATAAACCTGGCATGAACCTTATGCACTATGTGTCCATGGTAAATTAAGTGATCACACTTTTCACGACCATTATTGGATGTTGATTCCTTGAATATGTTTAAAAAAAAAAAAGATATTTAAAAGTTTATCATTTTCTATTCATTTCAGCAAGCCCAACAGATTGATGAAGCTTTGCTCCATTTCCCTGAACAGCTTCAACACATTGGAATTGCTGCAAGGTAGGTAGAATACATGTTCTGTAATGTATATTACATGCATTTAGAAGTAAAATGCCACTTTGTTCATAAATTCGATATAGGATCCAAAAGCAGGAGGTGGAGATGGACTTTCATAGGGAGTTGGAGAAAATGAGGGAAGCAAAGATGGACGCTAGTAAACAGACCGATGTACTACATCAGATGGAAGCATTTCTTTGTGTAAGATATTTTGGTTTTCCATGTGACCTTCAAGAAAGTTTCTTCTATTGAAATTGTAATGTCAGGTGATTTTTATAATTACCATAATAGGCAAAACAGCATGGTGTATCAGTATTCTGGGAATAATATATGTCTGCTCTTGTACAGATGGCAGACATTCGGCTTGCGGACGTGGAGGCCTCCCTTCAGGAACTGGACAACATCAGTACCTCAGTGGCAGAGTACTTCTGTGAAGACCCAGCCGCATTTAAACTAGAGGAATGTTGCTCTATCTTTCATTCCTTCTGTGAGAGGTTTGAGAAAGCTACACAGGTAAAGATTACATGTCTTATAAGGGCAAAATGCATAGAACTTTATTAGCAGGGTGGTTCCACGTGTGTTGTGTTACACACAAAACACTTCAAATACTTGCATTGCATCCAATTTCTGTTGCATATTGTTTACAATATGTGGTCTGGTATCAGATATGAAAACTTTGGGTATTATTTGTTAGCCTAGGATGAATTGAATTTGACTGCAGCACGTTGACTACCTTGATTTTGCATAGTTTTGTTCATGTTTATTTTTATCTGTCATGCTCTTCACTGACACTGTTGACTTGGTAAACAAGAGTATACACTAACGTTGAAAAGAAATTACTAGGGGGAACCCGGGGAAAAAGTTCAGTGTGATGGAAGTGACATCACAATTTACATGCATGCGTATATATGCATATAATACCAAAAAAAAGCAAACTATTTGCAATTACCAAAGCCTTAGAGAACAAATGAAGAAAATAATGAATTATAGGTATCAAAAAAAAAAAAAAAAAAAAATGCACCAGTTATTTTATGCCAAGCCTCTATAGTGGAGGACCATGTTTTGATCACAGCTTCTTCTTTTGGGATTAATTAACACATAATGTTGAAATGCGTTTATCACAAATGTTTATATTAGTTCTATGTAATTGATATTTATGATTTTTGTTTTTTATATTTTAATTTTTAAAGCCTAGGACTGGAACAAGGGTAAAACAATAAAAATAATTTTACAGTAAGGCATCAAAAAGTAGCACAAATAAATAAAGACATGGTAAAAAGTTTCCAAGATTGAAAACAAAAAGGAAAAAAAAGTTAATCTGTTCCCAATGTTGAAGAAACACCCACAGCCTCTTCTGTCCTGTCCTGCAGGAAAACCGTGAGCGAGAGGCGGCTGAGACTCGCAAGCAACAGCAGAGAGAAAGAGAAATGCTGACCAGAACGACTAAGCGCCGATCCACCACCACGTGTTCCAATTGGGATTTGAGAGGGGATGTGAGAGATGAAGCCTCTGTTTTAGAATCAGTCCTGACCAGCTTTCTCAGCCAACGTCCTTCTCGCAGAAGGCCCGGTGGGGTCAAACCCGTCACAGACAGCCCCATCAAGAACAGCCGCCCTCAGGTCGAGGAACGTGAGGGCGGAGGGGATCCGGACAGCCCTGTGGAAACCAACGAGGAGAAATTTGAGATCTCGAGAGTGCAAGAACCAGAATACATCTGCAAGAAGGAGGAGGTTCCACCCTGCGCCGTTAATGATGTTCAGCGGGCACGCGCCGCATCCAAAAGAGGACAGTGCATTGTTGATGATCTGATTCCTGAAAGCAACGACCATAAGGAAGTTGGGTGTTGCAACACCTTGACCAAACAAGAGTTTGTGGCGACTGAGGTCGGAGCGATGGATAAAGGAGAAGTGGAGGAGACTGGAGCGATGGATAAAGGAGAAGTGGAGGAGACTGGAGACATGGATAAAGGAGAAGTGGAGGAGACTGGAGACATGGATAAAGGAGAAGTGGAGGAGACTGGAGACATGGATAAAGGAGAAGTGGAGGAGACTGGAGACATGGATAAAGGAGAAGTGGAGGAGACTGGAGACATGGATAAAGGAGAAGTGGAGGAGACTGGAGACATGGATAAAGGAGAAGTGGAGGAGACTGGAGACATGGATAAAGAAGGAGGAAGAGCTGAGAACAATGAGAAAATGGAGGAGGCAGACAAAATGCCTGAGCTCTCCGGCAAGATCTTCAACTTTCAGGATTGCGGCAGCCTGAATGGAACCATTACACCAGATCGTTCCCGAGGGCATGGCGTGTGCACCTCTACCCCTCGGCAGAGGAATATAAAAGAAGTGGATCTGGCCTTGCAGAACGGACTGGGAGGTCTAGGCTCTCCATGGACCATCCTCAGCCCTCGTATATCTCCCCGTAACACGCCCCACCGCAGGCACTCCTTCTCTGTCTCCAGGGTGGACATCCTTGATGATGGGGTGTGGGCGTTGCCTGACACACCTATACGCGACAAGCCCTCTTTCTTTCATAAATCCGGTGTGGGGACATCTTCATTACCAGACTGTCCTTCAACGCGAACTCCAGCACACGGGACGTTTATAAGGTCTGCATCACTTCCTGATGAAAAAGAGCCGGCATCTAACTTCAGACTGGGACAGATCTTTCAGAGGCGCAATGGACAGGAGCTTCCTCCAGATAAGAGACCGGAAAGCTCAGGACTTGTATCTTTCTTTCGACGCTTCGGGGAAAGAAACAGGGCAGGAACTGTTGGTTAAGAAGCCATGGCATGGCCTACAGAGGTTTTATACTTTTAAGGATTTTACTGTGCCATAAAATATTTGATGAATGTAGACAATCGGGGACTTGTCTTACAACATTTTTGATTTCTTTTATTTTTATTATGCAAAACTACATGATAATGCGTGCTGATGTTGATGTCTTAATATTTATTAGTTTTTAGTTGAAGTCTTCAGCATTGTTATTTCTAACAAGCTGATTGTATTAGTTTACAACACTTAATTTCAGGGACTGAAATGCGTTTTATTTTTGTTCTTTGTCTTTTAAAGTCTGTCTTATTTTTATGTAATAAAGTGTGGATTCCACCTTTAAAGCATTTGTTGTGTGTGCCGTCCCCCTTCAACTATTAATACAACAGTGACACCAAAAAGTTGGACGCTGAAGCCACATTTAAAGTATCAAAGCATTCTTGAGACAATGATGAGGCATATTGCAATAGAGTGTTTGAATTTGAATTTATTAAAGGATAGCCTCTTGAGATGCATCATCTCATTTTCAAGAGGGTCCTATAAAAGCAGTAGCAGTTTATTAAAGCAGTGGCTCTCAAACAGAGGGCCTCAGCAAACAAGATGACTTAAAATGATTTAATTAAAAAAAAATTGTAAATTGAACAGCGCCATGACATGTATGAAAGCGAGGCTGAGTGTGAGGGATAGACTTACCATGTTTTCAATAGCATCCACTGTAAATTTTCCACAGCTCATGTTTTCTGGAGTTTTTTTGTCTATTGAAATTTCTTGGAAGGGTATTTTTCAACTGTTCTGCTGACAAAACACTGCAAAACACATTAAATAACTGATCAACCCAATGAAGCGCTATGTCTATCCCTCACAGCCTCTGTCATTCCGGTTTAAAATCAAAGAGATGGTGCTGCTGTCTATGGGGGCCCTCTAGTCAAAAAGGTTAAAAAACACTGTGTTCATGAAATGTAGCACATACACTGTTTTCAAGCAAAATATTTCACAAAAAGAGGTTTGTTTAAATGCTAAAAGAATAGCTATACTGTTCAAAATGACCACAAAACGTGTCTGGACTATTCTACTACTAGGTTAGTAATGACAGAGAAAGCAATAAGAAGTTTCCACTGTAGCATGAGGGACTATATGGCAGCCCTAGATAGAATGGTGTTAATGTCACTATTCGGTCATGTATTTGTATTTTTGTGTGTGTGTGTGTATGTTCTTCTCTTCTACACTATTCCAGCTTTCTGAATTTAATACATTCTCTCTCTTTCTCTGCTCTTGTTCATCAAGATATAGATGGAAATAAGGAGAATTTGCCATGTTGTCTAGGTAATGGTGTATGTTTACAGTGTGATCTCACTTGGCTAGTGTCTCAGTGAAATAATACCCCCTGGAAAAAAAAAACTGCCGAGCACAGAGTCTTCTTTCATAGTCCTCAGCTCTCTCACAACAAAGGCTGATTTTGTCCATGAAACAATCTAGAACTTCTACAAAATTATCTTGATGTAGCATATATATATTTTAGGCTAAACAGACTATACAAAGTAATTAATCCTTTTTTGTTTTGTTCAACTATAGTATCCAACCATTTAGACCACTCCTAAATAATGGGATGCTTTCTTATGGTATTGTTTTTGTCTCATAAAATAATACTAATAAAGTAATAACTACCTTGCATGTGGAAAATGCGTGATGATTAGTGTGTGAGAGAGAGAGAGAGAGAGAGAGAGAGAGAGAGAGAGAGAGAGAGAGAGAGAGAGAGAGAGAGAGAGAGAGAGAGAGAGAGAGGACAGGATAAGAAGAAAAAAACGAGGAAGAAACTCGAGCTTTGAAGGAAAGGACAGGATCACTTTGTTGGGGAGAATTCTCTCTTTGACAAAACACTCATCTGCAGACTAAATAGCCTACTGCCAACCTGTGATATGTGTTTCACCTAAAGTAAGTACATTATTTATTTAACAAACATTTTAATATTAGAAATGGAAAGAAGTAGGCCTATGCCTCATGCATGACTAGCTACTACAACTGGAAAACATTTCAGCCACATTTAAATTATATGTAGTATATTATTTTAGATTATTATATTGGTATATAAGCATATTAAATTTGTGAGTCAGGTTTTTCCTACCTTGTGGCTGGGGAGCAAATGTCCCTGATATGATAGTAAAACCTGAAGTCATGAGGACCAGCCAACGGCGTGGGCTGTGTTATTTAAAATACATTTAAAATAGCTTATATTGATATTGTGACGGAATGTAAACATCATTTTGACATTGAATCATCCAAATGTCTTGTTCATAGTAGGCTAAGCAAGTAAAGCTGTCGAGCGAGTTATACAAGCAAAGTGAACCGCCTCTGGGTTGTTAAAACAATTAAATAGTACATCATTCGTGTTTACGTTTGTAATTAAATGTTGTCTTAGTGGGCTCAGTTGGGCTTTTCCCACACCTAGTTATTCATTGTGGTATCAAAAGTGGTCAGGAGATGTCGCTATATTTTAATAAACGATTTGACTGTGTTCTGTGCGTGGGAAATAGCGACGTCATCACGGCCATAGGCATAATAATAATTGTCTATGATCACACACACACACACACACACACACACACACAAAATTCATATGATCACGATAACATAAAACTAGCATTACTTTAGAAATTCGGTGTTTTTTTTGTGAGAACTTTTTTTTTTAACTAACATAAAATGTAAACTAATAATAAAAAAGCAATTATCTCTGAGGTTGGCAATAAAACAATTCTGAAACTCCTTTCCCTGACTTGCTTCTTTCATGGAAATGGAAATGGAATGGAAACTGCTAGACTTGTACTCACTTTCAAAACCTAGTGATTTTTTAACTCTTTATTTTTGTCATATTATGTTTTGCCCTTCTTTACAGATCACACATAGAAAGATGCCTCACTCCAATTCAGCTTGATCACTGAAAGCAACAGCATGTTGAGGTAAGTTTTCTTAAGTCCATTATGATGGTTTGCGTTGGGAAATGAATCCTCAAGTGCATAAAATGTTGTATTTTGGTATTAAAATCTGTCATTGTGATTGTCACAATTTGCTTTTCTCAATAACTCTTCTGTTGTGGCTCAAATAGCATGAATAATCCAATAGACATGCATGGGAGGAAACTGAGTAAGGTTGCAACTGATAGCAGGACAATGCTGGGCATTCACAGAGTCATTTCCGGACCTATGTTTGCCGGAAAAGTGTGAAAATGGATATGAGCCTGTGAAGCCATTCGCTGATGTATTATGTCAGTCATGTAACACTGGATATCACCTGTATTTGACCCAGTGGCGTAGGTTTGATTTTGAAATTGGTGGGAACGGGGACATCAATATATAAATATATTTTAAGTTTTGATCGAAATTATTGCTAGGGACATATCAGTGTCACTGGATATTGGTAGGGACGCGTCCCTACTAAATTCTACGCCCCTGCACATTATTAAAAACCGAGACTTACAAACAATGGTGACCAAATGATTCACATTCAATACCATTCAATGTTAAAGGTGCAGTCGAAATAGGTCCAATTCAAAATATCGGAGATCGCCGTTTCTCCCACCACCTGCTCCTCAGTCTGGACGGCGCTCACACGGGTTGCCAGTTTGAGGACACGCAACAGGAACAAGCGCAATGGAGTATCACAGACCAAAACAATAACAAACATTCCAGCCTGGAAACGCACATTTCAAAGTAAAATAACTGGCTGTAGAAGCGTTTTTCAGAAAAACGAGTATGTGAACTTAGCACGTTTCCTCAATATATGCAAACATATTATGGTATTTTTTTGCTTTAGTAGAGTGATAAAGTTACATACAGCACCTTTAAGCATCAGAATGAAGTAGAGATATTGAGAAACACTTGCTTTGCAATTACTTGCTTCATTACACCAGATGTATCCTCTACATGCACATGCAGCTGAGTAAATAAAGTATGGAAGGACTATTATAGGTGAACTTTGTTCCCAATTGATTAAGAAAGACTGAGCTTTAAAATGGTTTTAATCCCTGTGGTTCATTCTCAGTAGCCTACAATGCATTCATTAGTGCAGACAGTGGCAGCTGAGAGAACTAGTGAATATTAAAGTTCTCTCATACCAGGCAGTTGTTAAGTAATTAAGCTCTGGTATTCCCTGTTTGCATAGGCTAAGATATTAAATATAATTAGATCCTGATAAATGCTGATGCATATCATTTGCTGTGTTTTAATGTTGTCTTGCAAATCACAGACATCAGACATGCAAACAGTTGGTTATCTAAGCTTTCAATCAACATTTTTTGGTTCTCAACCTTTTTGACTCCAATACCCCCTTTTGTCCAAGACAATATGCAAAGGATATCAAAGCTGTACCTCTGGTAGCCTACTTCAGAATAAACTCAAAATATAATGTTAGGTTGATGTTCTACATCTTCATTTTTAGTATTTTATTTTAGCATTTTAATTAGGATTATGTTAATATAACTCATTTGAAATAATATTATGACTGATAATAAAAAATATTTTTGTGTATTTAGCAGCAAAGTGCTAGCTATGAAATTAGCCTAAATATACATACACAGGCGGCATGCCTATGTATATATATATATATATATATATATATATATATATATATATATATATATATAAATGACAAGTATTCTATAATATATATATATATATATATATATATATATATATATATATATATATAAAAAAATATTTCATAGGTGATGATTAGAATGATTTTTCTTTATTTTCATTGGTCTTAAATTTCATACAAAATTGTATGTATGTTTACATACATACATACAGATAAAGTGTCATTACCACGATAGAATGCCAATGCAATTTTCAGAAAAAAGGTAATGTCAGGGCCAAAAGCACCTATGATGCAACGCCCCACTCAATAGTAGGACAAAATCTGTGCATATCATTATGCAAGAGCAGAATGCAGTGTTGTCCAGAGTGTTTTTTTTTTTTTTTTTTTTTTTTTTTTTGGTGCTCTTTGGAGAGTCTATTAACAAAACCACGACACGGGAATCTGCAGCATCACATGTTAGGGCATCACCACCCTCAGGCTTCCTGAAGAGGTCTGCCTTCATACCACTAACAAAGCACACAAATACACACTCTCACACACTGTGCTGAGTGCTGGCTTTGTGTTGCAGTCACATGCAATTTACACTCTGGGTCCTGCAGGTCTGTGCTCTTCCTCTATGAGTTTAGGAAGAGAGAGAGAGAGAGAGAGAGAGATGAGGAGGAGGAGGGTGAACGAGGCGGTCTGCCATGGGTTCTGCTGCACTGGATGCAGTCTCCATGGTAACATCGCTCTCTCATGCAATCAAATCAAGGAATGAGATCAGGCCCCGCCCACCCCCCCCCTCCCCCCCCCCCCCCCCCCCTCAGCGCGCACGCGGTTGATGCTTTTATCAGCTAAGCCACGCCCCCAGCCGTTTGTCTCCACCCCTTCTAACCCTTAGTGATGAATTGAACTCAATTTGTCACTCTAGATGTTGGTGATATTAGTTGGAAGGGTTGTAACTTGGTAGTCCAAGATGTCACCATGAGGCCTTGTCCTTCAGTTGACAGAAAGGATATTTCTAGCTTGTCTTAGAAGACTGATGTGACTTAAGTGAACCCTGCTGCCCAAGCTGGAATTTCTAAGACTATAATTGTGCTGGGTCTTATTTTATGTATAATATCTACAGTGGTGGGATGTCTCTCTCTTTCTCTCTTTGCCTCTGTAGTCATTTATCTTCATTAGCTCACATGCAGTTACTATCATTATCTTGATAGTTACTGAGTCATTATCTTGTCCCCTCGATCATGTTGTTCCTGCTATCTCTTAGTTTCCCCCATTTTCTCCTGATTGTGAATACAAATACACCCTCCCCCTTATAGCACTCTGGGAAACTGAATAAAAGGCAATTGTGCCAGCAGAAAAGATGTCATCATGCAATTTCATCACACAGGAGAGTCATTCATTTTCTTGGATATTCACCTTTGAACTCTTGAGGACTTTCTCTCATAGTTTGTGTGTAGCCTATGTATGTTTGTCTGTTGTATTGACATGTGGTGCTGTGCACTGCAAAAATTATTTTATTAAACGGTATTTGTACTTAATTCTCCAGTAAAAATATCTAAACATCATCAAAATGTTACAATTACATTGTGAAAAAAGTTTGTTTTTTAGATTTAAAATTTAAAAATGATTACTCCATTGGCAGTTTGTATGCGTAAATCTAATGCTTCATACAATTTTGTTTTGAAAATTTAATTATTTATTATTTTATGGAAAAATTAAGATGTACTTCAATGAAAACAATGTACACCATGCACTGTTTAAAAGTTTGGGGTTTAAAAGATTTGTTTTTATTTTTATGGAATGAATACATTTATTCAGTGAAAGTAAAGATATATATTAAGTAGCCTAGTAAAACTATTCTCAACATTGATAATAATAAGCATTTTTCCTTGAGCACCAAATCAACATATCAGAATAAATAGTGATTAGAATGATATGTGTGTGTGTGTGTGTGTGTGTGTGTGCGTGCGCGCGCGTGTGTGTGTGTGTGTGTGTGTGTGTGTGTGTGTGTGCATATATATAATTCTAATCACTAATTAAATTACACAGTGATAAAAAGTTCCAACCAACCCCAAATGTTTTAACTGTTTACTTACAAAATTTTGCTGCTCAATTAAATTTATTTATTTAAAGCAAACTTGAGTTGCCGTTCGTAACCAATTTGACATCAGTTTCCAAGTGAAAAGAAATGGTGTATTGGAAATTAAATCGTACAAAATGTGTTTCGAGACAGATCAAATGTGAGTTTGCTAAAACATCTAATTAGCTATTTGGCGATTGGTGAACAATGAACATTATCCAATAGCATGTGTGGCCCAAGTGACATCAGCAGAATATCAAAGTCGTTTCAGGGGGAATACAATGCACCAATGAATTATTCACAAAATACATTTTGATTTCATGATGAGGATGTTTAGATATTTGTACTTGAAAACGAGACAAAAATAATGATTTCTTTGCCGTGTTTATGGTATTGTGGCAAACCTTAGAGAGAGCAAGAGCTCTGTGTCCAAAGGATGTGTTCTCCATCTGCCATTTTCCTGTTGCCTTGCACCTTCACTCAGAGCATTGGCTGACCACATCCCCACCTCCCTTCTTTTTAGCCAATTCCCTTCCACTATCTGCCTTTCCCCTCCCACCTCATCAGTCTCTCTCTTCTCTTTTCTTTCTCACACACATTATACAGCCTCGCTTGCTCACACATCCTGCTGCTGCTTCTTCTTCTCTCCTGTCTGCTAGTCTTTCCTGCTATCTAGATTTGCTCCTTTAATCTCGCTGTTTCTTCTCCTTTTGGGATGAGGGGCTGTAAGGCTGGACGGGTCTGTGCTCGGATGCTTCGCTGAGACCTGTCCGTATCTTTCTCTTTCCCTTTTCCATCCCTCTATCTCTGTCAGCTGCGAGAACTCACGTGAGTACGGCGTCGGGGAGCTCCCCCCTTTTCCCTCCTTTTCCCTTCTTGTGTCGTGGCATCATCACTTTCTTTCAACTCTCCATACGTTTTGTATGCGTTTTATCAAGCTGTGGTTGACTGTGATGAATAATTTACTGCAGAGTCTCTGGCCTCTCCCTTTCAGTCAGCTGGGCATCTCTGACACACTCATGCACAAACACACACATGAGTGAGAGGACATTATCACAAACACCCCGCCAGCCTTTCAGCTCTTATATAAAACAACAGCGCGTGTGTGAAATGAGCTGTGTGTCAATGGATGTGCACGTAAGATGAGTGTGTATAAACACAAGTAGGTGTCAGGTGTCTCCTTTGACGTGTTTGTCGGCTCTTTCCTCAATATCACCTGCTTTGCTGCCATACTGATCCGAGCCACAAAGGTGGAAAGATTCAGTTTTGTTAATGGGATTTTAAATGGATGGCTTCAAATTGAATTGTAAATTTGAGTGTGTTCAAATCATGCCACAGTGGCTTTCTGTCGCTTAGCAATGATAGGAAGTGTGTGTAGACAGAAGATGTGTGATACATCTTAATGAAGGCTTAATTAAGGCTATTCAAGAATAAAACCATAGCATTTATTGACTTAAATGGCACACCCTATTACAGTGACGTGATATTACAGGTACAGTCATAGTAATCATCCAAGCAGACAGCTATAAATAATGTAATAATGACAACACAATTTGGCAGGACTGGTGACACTCATTATCATTGTGCTTTAGTTGACATTACTAAAATACAGCCGTTGGTTTGCTGTCTGGTTTAATTTGCCTTATGGTTCCCAAAATGGAAATTATATTGCTCATACGGTTGATCTTTTTTATTTAAGTTCAAAACAATTAGCAGAGTTCTCAGATGTGATTCATTTGTCTATCAGTTCACTTTTCTCCTAACTTTGCAGCGTTATTATTTATATTGTTGTTTTATTAGCCTATAGTATAGTATGTTTGAGTATTTATTAATATTTTAAATTAGCTTTTTGTATCAGTTTTTATTTTAGTAGTACATAAGTTTTAGTCATTTTGATGTGCTTTTTAAAACGTTTGAAATAGTTCTATTTAGAATTAATTTATTTTTATTTCAATTTTAAATTTAGTAATTTATTTCAGTTAGTTGCCAAGGCACCATTAGTAATTTTCATTTATTTATTTATTTAAGTTTAAGTTTTTCATCTAATATTTATATTTATTAATCCTCTCTACTATCAACTCTGTCGGCCAATAAAGGCTGTAAGAAGCGCATGAACAAGTGAATGGCACGACTTACATTCCATTATGTGTGTGTGTGGTTGTGTGTGTGTGCGTGTGTGTGTGTGTGTGTGTGTTGAAGAGGGAAGCCAGTTACAAAGAAGATGTCAGAGGAATATCCAGCTGGCATTGACGTAATGGCTCAAGAGAAAATTAAGTAAGAGTAGACAGAGTATTCAAAGTCTCCATTAGAGTTAAAAGTAAAGTATGGCTTTGAAATCCTGTCTTTTTCTGACACAATTGGCAGTTTGGACCTGTACAAATGCGGTTGGACAATCAACAAACAAATTATGAAGCAAGCATTTCCTCCAAGGCTTTTTTTTTCAATTGATAAAACCAAATAAAATGCTTTTTCAGAATGACTTTACTTCAGGTTTGACTGTACAATTCCCCTTTATTGATACTGGGAGGTCAAACAGGTATTGTCATAGTCACAAATGGCATTTGACGTTATTTGGTTGGAGATTATGATGGATGTAAGGGCAGTGAGATGGAGCTCTGACAGATGTCTCTAGTTTAGTGTAGTGACATGAATTGCCATTGTTCGTGTGTGTGTGTGTGTGTGTGTGTTTGTTCTTGTGCTCTATCCACTGTAGGATCGCATTAAAGGCCTCACCAGTCACAAACAGCCTTTATTGTGCTATGGCTGCCTGAGTGACCATTATACCTAACCTTCCCCTTTAGGGTATTCTTATGTCTTGTTTGTGTGTGTGTACGGGAGAAAGCTTTTGACTTGCCCTGTATGTTTCGTCTGTTGGGTGTGATAAGTTTGGGATGTCGACATGTCGTTAATACGGTCAATAGAACCAGTTTAGCTCATTCAACAGTTCATAAACGCACTTAAACTTACAGCTATTTTGATGTGACATTCATAATCACAATACAAACACAAACCAGTTTCTATTTAAAAGCTTTCGCTGATTCATGTGTCTTATTGTACCTAAAATATGTGCACTCTTTGTTTTTATTCAAAAGGTAAACTTCCTGAAGTCTATTGATAATCATTCTTAGTCAGTTGTGGCAGATATTATTTTAGTTCCCTATCGGTCAGTCACTACAACGTAGGTCAGACTGACCAATAGGAATCTCGCTAGAGAGGCCAATCTACTTCGAGTGAAACTAAAACAAGCCAATGCACATTGGCATGCAATCATTTGCATCAGCTGCGCGTCCTCGTCAGCGCGGGTATTTAACAGCAGCTGTTATGATTGCACACTAGCTTTTTGCTTCGGAGCCAAACGCTTCATGGTAATCCTACAGAGTGTGAAACTTGGCAAGCCTTCGTTGGATCTCTCCTTGTTCGGTGCGGGCGTTACAGCACGGCAGCGCGAGCAGTCTTGTGTCCTCTCTCTTCTGTCTGTCTTTTTTGTTTTGTTTTTTTGAGCAAATTCAAAAAAGCTGTTTTAACAGCTGGTAAGGTGCGCAGTTCAGCGCTCAAAGGCTGTTCTCACAGCCGGTAAGACCTGCCAGCGAGAGAGAGAGACAGCGCACAGACGGGTGCACATTCCCGTCTGTGTTCGCAGTGACTGTTCCCCTGCGTGCTTCAGCACCAGTGAGAGTAGTCCCTAAAAGAGCTTACACAGATAGACAGCGTCTTTAAAAAAAAAAAAAACAAAGATGACTTTCTATCTGTGTGTTTCTGGATGCGGTCGTTACCTGGGCTCACAGGATGGTCACAAGCGCTGCCTCGTGTGTCTGGGCATTGAACACGCTGAGGCAGCGTTTGTGGATGAGTCATGTACCCATTGTGGGAAGATGACCATCGCGGAGCTACGGTCGAGACTCCTGTTCCTGCAAAGGGGCGGAGTCCCCGTGCCTCTGCCTCGTTCCAATCCTCCTCGGAGGGTTGCTTCGGGCGGGGGCACGGGTGACCTGAGGATCACGGTGAGCGCGTCTCCTTCGGGGAACCAACCCCCTAGGAGCCCTCACCCCTCTCATGCTCCGCAGCCAGTTGAGCTTCCATTGGAGAAAGCTGGACCATCCTCGAGGTGTGTACCGGTTGTCTCCTTTGGGGCTCCCAGTGACCAGATGTCGATCGCTGCATCGGAGGGTGGGTCAGACTTCTCTGCGGACGACGACTCGGCACCGCTGCCTCCTTCGGGGGTGCCAGCGGTGCCTGAGACGGACCCGGAGATGATGGCCATGCTCTCCCGGGCCGCCAACGGGGTCGGGCTCGTGTGGAATCCTCCACCGTGTCCCGAACCCTCGAGGTTGGATGATTGGTATCTCGGGGTGGCGCGCGACCCACCCCAGTGCCTTTCTTCCCGGAAGTGCATGAGGAGCTTACGGGAACGTGGATGGCACCTTTTACTGCCAGAAACCGTTCCGGTGGCTCCTCCTCCCTCACCACCCTTGATGGCGGGGCAGCTAAGGGATACACGCGCATCCCGCCAGTGGAGCGGGCCGCTGCAATGCAGCTGTGCCCTAACTCCACTCGGCGCGGAGAACCGTGTCTTCCTTCCCGGGCCTGTAGGTACTCGTCGGACCTATTCGACGAGGCTTACAAGGCCTGTGGGGAAGCTGCCTCTGCCATGCACGCCATGGCGTTGCTGCAGGTCCATCAGGCCAAGGCACTGAAGGACCTGCACGAGGGTGGTCATGATCCACAAGTTCTCCAGGAACTTCGTGCCGCAACGGACCTCGCGCTTCGTGCGACGAAGGTCACCGCGCGGTCAGTGGGTCATGCGATGTCCACCTTGGTGGTCCAGGAGCGCCATCTCTGGCTGTGTCTGGCAGACATGAGTGAGGCTGAGAAGCTCCGGTTCCTCAACTCCCCCGTGTCCCAGACCGGCCTCTTCGGCGACGCGGTCGAGAACTTCGCCCAGCAGTTCTCGGCTGTACAAAAGCAGACTGAGGCCATCAAGCATATCCTGCCGCGGCGGTCAGCTGCTGCCTCCAACCCACCGCCTGCGGCTCCTCAGTCTGCTCGTCGCCGGGGGCGTCCTCCTGCGTCTGCCCCTGCTCCCGCGCTGCAGCAGCAGCCTCCACCTAAACGGCGCCGTGGAGCCAGTCGCAGGCAGGCCGCCCCGCCCGTCCAGGCCCCCGCCAAGAAGGGTGGCAAAGCCAGAGGTAAGCGGCCCCAGGACGGGCGACCCGGAGATGGAAGGGACTGCTCTCCAGGAGACGATGACCGCATCGCTCCTTCCCCCGGAAGAGGGCCGGGTGGAAAATCCTGTGTTTCGTTTTGTTCCGCCGCTGGCCTTAAAACCAGCGGTACCCAAATTTTCAATAAAAGAGCAGTTTCTGCCATCTCTGGGTCCGAAGAGGACCCGGAGAGCAGTGGGGGGACAGAATCCTCACCACTCTCATCCGCCTCCTCTGTCGCCAGTGAGCAGCAGTGTGCAGTTCGAGAACGCCACCGAGCCGCCTCCTGCACCTCCTGCCCCGTGGAACCAGGTAAGTGCTGCACAGCACACACAGACCCTGCTACGGGCCGCCTCCCAGAGAGAGCCTCCCGAGCCACGTCCCTGTGTTCCACCTCGCTGCCCCACTCCGGGTACGCCTACAGTCCCTTTGGTCCCGCTTGCACGGTCTCTGAGAGCCTGGTTAGCGCTCCCCAGTCCGTCTCGCTGGCTCATTCGGACCATCAGGCTCGGCTTTGCGATTCAGTTCGCCCGGCGTCCCCCCAAGTTTCGGGCCATCCACTCCACTACAGTGAGAGCAGCCGATGCCCATGTCTTGCGTGCGGAGATCGCAGTCCTACTGGCGAAG